ACTCTAATATGTGATATATCAAGTTTCAGGTCAACCATAAAATTTAGCAGAGCAACTAAAAAAAGTTATAGTGGTAAGTGGGGGGTAAGCAGAGGAAACTTGTTAAAATGATGACAGCAAAAAGCAATTATGTGACTCTAGGTGATAGTAAATACAATTTCATTAATCATCCAGCTAAATAAATAAATGAGGTAGTGGATGGTTGAAAAGAATCCAAGCAAATACAAGTTCTTCATCTACATTAAGTCTGGTAATGGATTCCTAAATAGAATTAAAAGTGTAAAGACTTTAAAGACTTTTTGAAGAAAGAAAAGTAGTTTCCAGGCTTAGATAAACTCTTCTCAGGACAGTACATTTTCATGGAAGGGAGAATAGGTGTTTGTGGAGAGTCACATGCAGTTAGTCATACCTCAGTGGTACCACCTTAGGCTGAATGGACCTAATCTTTGTTGTTACACTTTTTAATATCCATTTTCATTGAAACAGTGTAATCTCTATGAAAAAGTCATAAAGTAAGAAGATAGACTGATAATGTTTCAAACCACTCTCCTTTTCTGAAAGCAAAAATAAATTCCTTGTGTACCATGCATCCACTTTGGTTACTCTGTGTGTAAAGTACTAAATAAGTCATCCATTAGGTTACGTCCAAGAGAAACCAAGCTGTGCCAGAAAGCAGTCCCAGCCAGGTCTGTCCATACCTATTTCACAGGTCATTAGTCCTATCCTTTTTCTGTTGTACACCATTGTAGATGACTGCTTGGGCTTGTAGTAGGCATGACTATCTACACTGACAGACTCAATACAGAGCGAAGACACAAAACAGGGTATTTGAGCCTTGGAAGAAATAATCCTACTTGTTCTTCCACCCCTTCCTATCCACTGTTCCTGGTGGATAGAGCAAATAAAAAGAGGGGAAGTTTATGCAAATACTGGCCAGGTGCCTGATGGATTTGCAGTCTTTTGCAAATGTGTGTGCTAATTAAAAACTACCCACAAGTCGATGCCTTTCATGAGGAAGCATTGCAAGGGCATGCTTGGCTCCCCAGGCACACAGAGGCTGCAGTGGGGGTATGTAGTTCCAGAACATTCTATGTGCTCATAGCTCTTGATACCAGTACCAGCTGGGAACAGCCAGTGGGACACCCTTATTCTTTCCTTTTCTTCAGGAAAGGATAAGGGTTACTGTGGATGTCCAGTTGAACGTGAGTTGGCAATGTTGAGCTGTTGCATGATAGAAAGGAAAAAAAGGAAAGCATGATATTGGGATGCATAGGTAGCAGCCTGCAGGAAGTAATCCCCACAGTGGTGAATGCTCAGCTGGAGTCCTGTGTTCAGCTTGGAGCACTGCACTTAAGGAAACTGATGACCACTTTTGATGTGGAGAATAGGGCAGTAAAAATGACCGGAGATCCATAGGGCATGTCCCAGGGGAAATACCTGCAAGGTTTATGTTTTCTGTGCCTAAAGAAGAGGAGTCTGCTGAGGAGTGAGTAGGAGGCAGGCAGTTTTTCAAGCATAGATAGAACAGGCTGTTGAAAGAGTAGGCCACTAATCTCTTTTCTGTGCCACAGACAAAGAGAAATGGATCTCAAGTGAAGCAAGAAAAAGGAGGTAAACTGAACAAAAGTGTTATCCCTGAAATACACTGCCAGTGGTTCATGTGGAATCTCCATCACTGTGAGTGTTAGGAATGGCTTTAATAAACATGACTGAAGTGTATCCGACTTTATCTCACAGTGGGAGGTGGATTACGTATCTTTTCTATCATCCCTATGATTTGGTAATATGGGTGATAGTACTGCATATAGAATTGCTTTAATGATAGACATGCTTTCTGCATTCTGGTTTCAAAGATATCTCTGCAGAGTGAAATGTGTTTAGCTGAGGTGCAGGAGGCACTTAATCATCATATAATTTCCTCATTTTGAAATGTTCTTTAGGTAAGTGGTTACGGCATAAACAGCTGGCTTTGCATTTCAGCTCAAATATCATTGTCCTGAAATACTTGGGGACATCACTTTGTCAGCTGGCACTTGACAGTCCATCCTAAATTTGAAACATGTAATTGGATTCTTTAGTTGAAATCCGAGTTTCCTTTGAAGTCAGGGGGTTTTATAGGGTAAAAATTTCACACTGAGGATACAGTGGTGCCCGCTTGTACGTGCTTAGCTTTACTGTCCTAGTCAGGCCTGTTGTTTTCAGGACAAGGATACAAGGAGTGGGTTGTAAGAGTGAGTAACCTTTGCTATGGCAAACATTTGGTTGCAGAGGGGGGCCTTTGGATTGCTTGTGTGGGTGAGTGAGAGCTTACATCAGGCATTACGTGAGGTGAATTAATTACTTTTTCCTTTTTTCAGATAATGTCAACAAAACTAATTTACACCATCTGTTCTAAAATAGAGAGAGGCAGCCAGTAGAAAAGCAACACCCATTTTGTTTTTTAACATTTCTTCTGGTAATATTTTAGGCATTCTGTATTCTCTTTAGTAATGTAATTTCTTTCCTTTTTCTCACTGGGGAGAGGGGTGTTCTCCCCCCAGTGTATTTTTTTATTGCCAGTGGCCTTTAAATTTGCATTTAGCATTCTGATGGTTATAGCTGCAAGTTGAATGTTTCGCCAGCTACTGGTTAATCCCTCCTGATATGCATGCAGATAAGTCTCCAGTTGCAATGAATTGTAGTAGTTCCACTGAAAATACTCCGGCTTTGCTTATACCAGTATTAATTCAGAGCAAGTTTGCTCTTCACAGATTTAAAGTAGATGATAAAATTTCATCCTTTCAAAGAGATCACATTGATGCAGAAACTCAGGGTGAATCTCAGAGCTGAGAGTTAAATTTTTGTGCTTCATAATGTGTTGTTGCATTTCACATCCAGACTTCTTTGCAGGCTTCTCTTAACTGTGCAGTGATGTGCTATATGTAGGAATTGCATATGTATACCTGAGGCTAAAATAAGCCCACAAAGGAAGCACAAATCCCAGACTTTAGGACCACCAATACATCAGTTGTTAATAACCTTACAGTGTTATTATAGCTAACACTACAGACATAATTAAATCGGAATGATTTGAAACTGCCATTAGGGGGAAGAAGGCGGAGGAAAACAGTTTCATCCTCACAACATCATGTTTTCATTGACCTACTTACAGTAGGGAAGAAAATGTGTCCCTTCCCATTACAGCAGAATAGGTTTGTTCAGCAATTTTATAACACAACCACATAAGAGAAGACTGGCTTTCCTGACCACTCCAGGAGGATTGGAAAGGAGAGTAATGTTATTTCACACACTTAGAGCTAAGACGTGTAAGTTCCTGTCCAAGCAATAATGTTATTAATTTAATCAATTTGGCAGAACGTGCGTTGAGTGGCAAAAAGAAGGGGAAAAAACCCTTACATTCAAAGGTGACAGGAAAAGGGCTGCGCTTGGTCTGCAGCTGTGCAGAGGGAGCTTCTGGGGCAATTAAGTTTCCTTCGTCTTCTCTGGTTCAAAGTCCCTGCCATCCCTGAGACCCTCAGACCTCCTGCGTGATGTGCCTTGCAGCTGAGCAGCCCTGCAGCCTGCTTTCGCTTCAGCAGGAGTTCCCTCGTGAGCTTCACATCAGGGAATTACTGAACTGTATGAAGGGATGGCACAGGGCCTAACCCTTTTTGGGTGTGCAAACTCACATTGACATCGAGCCTCTGTGATGTGCGAGTGTGGGCACACAGCCTTTGGGGCTGCCGGGCTGGAAGCAGTGGAGTCCTGAACATCAGTGCGAGGTACAGCACCACCTCTGCATGTCCAGCGTCCCTACCGAAGTCACCAAGCAGGGGGCCGTGGCTGCAAAGCCCACCGCATCTGAAACACCTCCAGAGAGAAATCCTGGGTGCTCTTCCTCTTCCACATCTGTCTCATGAGCAAAGACAGTGAGATGCAGGTGTCTGGGCTACTCCAGCCACGGGGCACGGTGGTGCCCATTGGGTAGGCAGCACATGGAGCTTGAGGTGCTACCCTTTTCCTCCTCCAGACCTGTGCATGTGGTATTTAAGGTTTGTTGTCCTACGCCTGAGTTAATAAACCGTCTTTATCTGAAAATAAACACCTGCGGCTAGTACTTTCTAGGCTGCTCGGGTCACATTCCTCCACAAGGTGTTGTTGGTAATTTAGTATTGTCAGAGGCATTAGTCACTGCCATAGTAGCTTAATAATGCACGGTAGGAGCCAGCTGGTAATTAACAAATTAGAGATATCATCTACATTTTCCTCAAATATTTCGCATGTAGCAAAAATAATTAGAAGTAGAGCAGTTAGGGTGTTTAAAGCTGTTATGTATATTTAAAACATCTCAACATGTTAGGAAAGTATTCATTCTTTTAAAGGTCAACGGGGCCTAATGTTGCTGCTGTCCAGGATTCACCCATACACACCAAAGAGTTGTGAAGTAGAGAAAGAGCCAGAGTCCTGTCTTTGTTTTTTTAACCCTTTAATTCTGCCTTTTTTAGGAAATTTATTCCAATGGCTGACTTCTGTGCCTGTTTTTAGGAGTGGCATGACTTTGTAGGTCTCTTTTGCACTTCCTTTCATATTAGAAGCATCTTGAATTGGAAGGTTATGTGCATGTGCATGTGTGATGAAAAGATGAAATCAGCTTGTAATTGAAGTGAAGGAGAGAAAAAACCCCCACAAATTGTATAAAACTGTTTAAGTGGGAAAGACACAACAGTATAAATGAAAGTGACAAGGAGTTTCATTATGTAGTGTAAGTAAAATATGCCAGTATGCACGAGCTTGCCTTTACTCACTTGGCATCTCCTTATTTTATCACCAGATGGTGACCAACAGTTTCAAATTGAGATGCTCTGAGGTTACCTGAGTGTGATGGCTGAGCGATAGTATACCTTGATATGTCTCCCTTCCGTGCTGCTTCAGCCCAGTACTCCTTGATCCTCCTGCAGCCTGACTCCAGGACTCAGGTCTGAGTATCGCAAGCCTTTGACTCTGCTTTTTCTCCGGGGCAGGATCTGATGTGAGCACTCTGAGGCAGAAGAAGCAGGGAACAGAGCAAGCGGTCGGAGGAGCATCATTTCTACGGGTAGGGTGCAGTTAACTGTCTTCATGGGGAGCTCTTGGGTACTGGCAGTGGCTTTGAGAAGTACGATTTATGTCTTAAAATATTCTTCTTGGAGATTAAAAAATGCAGTTGAAAATGTGGCTGGGTGCTTCTTGATACAGAGCGCAAAGTTTTTGTCAGACAGTGACGGTTTGTGTTCAGGCTTTGAACATAGGGTACAAATGTGAGCAGCTGTAAAATGCACTGCAGAGAAGAATCTTCCCTGTAATACCTTTGCTACATTTGTTCACCTCTACATTGTTTGATGGAAGAGCACTGGGGATTTCAAAGCATGTGTTTCTGAAGCTTATGAAAGAAAGGGAATTCCATATGCAATTTCTGTTAAGATTTTTAGCCTCTTAGAGTCAGACTCAGGTGTTTGGAGTGCTTTCTAATACCTTCTGGTGCTAAAGCGCAGATGGTAGAGGTAGAAAAGGCCTGGTAAGTTATTCACACAATGCTGATAACAGTGTAGACTTGTTTTGTGCATCCTGAATTCTCTTTTGTTGCTGTGGGTGGCTTTTGTTTGGGGTCTTTCTGGTAGTGCTTCGTGCTGACTGTTGCCTCAGCAGAAAACCTTCCCTGTTTTTACTGTGTAACAGTACAGCAGGAAAGCACAGGCAGCAGTGGAGTCACACTGCGTGCAGACACAGCGAGAGAGTGACCCTGCTGACTGCACTCAGGGCGGGTGAGAGCCGATATCTGAGAGGGCAGACAGAAACACAGAAACATGCCACCCTTAACTTGCGCTCCCACAGCAGTGGTGAGAACAGGCCTCACATCTCCCAGCCTAGCTGAAAGCAGCACAGCAGATAGTTTTTGCAGTGCTGCTGGCAGTCCTGGTCCCTCCACTGTCCAGACCAAGGAGCCTGTTGAATGCATCACTTCTCTCTTTGCTGGTGTTTCTGGATTTCCCCCAGTGCAGCCCAAGGGCAGAGCATGGGTGTGGTCCCACCTGATTCTGCCCCTGGCCGTTGGGTGGCAGCTTGGCACACACAGAGAGACCTGGCAGGGCTCCTGGCATCTACAGTGGCCAGGCAGACCAGAGACATGGCTGGACTGTCTCACCTGTGGGTCTCTCCCAGTGACAGAATCAGCATTTCCTATTGCGGGAGCTGGTCCTGCGGACAAGGGCCCTTGAAGTTCATCCAGGGATTACAAGGCACATCAAATTTTACTGCAGTTGGCACCAGAGAAAATCTTTCACATTTTTCATCCCCCCTGAAGCCCTTCATAATAAACAAACAATTACACAGACTTTGTAATGATTATGAAGCCTTTTAAACTGCTGTGTAAATATTGGTACTACATTTAAAAAATTATTTTTCATCCTTTGTGTTAATTCAGTTCATGACCTTCACATTTCAGGTTTTAAAATGCCACTACATTCCGTAGAAGACTAGATTACTGTTGAGGGGAATGAAAATAAATACCGTAGTGGGGGGAGGAAAAGTTGTGTTTCTTCAAACTGATACAGTTCATGTAATTGTGGAAGGTAGGGGTTGTCTTTAAGACCTGTCACTTCCTTATACTGATGCTTTTGAAATATTTGGACACAAGTCATGGAGCTGTCTTTTCACCTGGGAGTGAAGAAAGGCATTCAGTCTGAACCTCCTTAGCTGCTGCCTTTCTTACGCTACATTTTGGGTTAGTATTTCTGCAAAGAGGCTATACAGAAACCCCAGAGCAATTTAAGCCTCTAAGATGTCTCTGTTCTGTAGTTTATTTTGGCAAAATAAGATCCATATAGCTCTGTATTAAGGGAGTATTGTGATATTTGGATATTGCATTCAAAACACTTCCATTTCAATATAATTGCTCAAGACCAGTCTTTATATAGGTAAAATATATTATTTGCTGCATTCCTTTTATTCTGAACAATTCTTTAATTTTATTCTAGCCATATAATTTTCTGGAAAAAAAATCCTTTACTTCTGTAACATTTTGTTCTATGCTCTTTTCCTCCATTGTTTAAATCAGACTTAGGCTGTGTTTTCATATTTTATTTTTATTTTATATTTGGGAAGCGGTAAGCTAACATATGTGTTCTGTGTTCAGTCTGGATGACTAAGTAATTCCACAAAGACTGCTGTTCACTGGCTGATCACTGCACTTTCAATTTACTTTTATGAACAAAGCCAAAGCCCCACAGCTGAACAATTTGATTCTGAATGCAGATGGCTAAGCTGGAAATGCATTTATTTTCTAGTTTTTGGCACTTATAGGTGAGATTCAAGAGTCCCCACCAGGGTTGCATGGGCAGTAGGAGAAGTTCTGCAGTCACTGTGAGGAATTTTGTTTCAGCTTGGGAGTGATCTGCTGTTAGAGTTATTCAGTGCTCTGCTTACTCCATGCTTACAGAAAGTATTTCCTTTTATTTCAAAAAGCCAAGCAAAACGTCATTCCCAGCCACTGCCTCAATGTCTTCCCTCACTAAAATAAAACAACAGGTGACTAGATCTTGAAGTGTCATATCTGGCATGTTTGGCAGTTGTTTTCTGCTTCTTGGTAATGCTGGGATATGAACTTGAGATCATCCCAGCTGCTCTGGCCACCTCTCTGCTCACTGAAATAAAGGCTGCCTGGTTTAATCATTACTATTTGCTGACCCTGCTTTTACATGTGCGCTTAACTTCGTATATAGTATCCCAAACACTGTGTGTAAAAATCTATGTTGGCACCTTGCAGTGAGAATTTCTCTGCCGGTGGGAACCCAGGCACGCATGCGTACGTTTCGGAAGCAAATGGTTATAGTGATACGTGCGAGCTTATCTGCTCAGCCTGTTCATTTGAACGTAGCCTTCCGCGATTAATTGGCAGGATGAAAAATTCAGTCCATCCTGTTTATAATGATGTGTGTTTATCCAGTCCATTGTTAAAGCTGGTGGTGTTGTTCATGCAGGATTTTTACTTCTATGTAAGTTTTGTTATATTTTGATCTCCTGCAGCACCCAACAAACTTTTAAAAACCATTCCCCCAGAAACTGTTAGTTCACTGCGATTATAAAAGAACATGTGTATGAATCACAAATGAGAATATTACCCAACAAGATATTCCTAGAAACAGGAGAGCACTTTACGTCCAATACAATACATTAATAATTTATAAGTAGTAGTTGGCCATTAAAATGTTGGGGTTTTTTTAATACTGTACATTGAGTACAAGGATGACGTGTAAAGCTTTTTCACTGAATATGTTTGTGGGCTTTTGAAACTCTCTTAAGTTTCCATCCGCACACTCTTGTCACAGATTTGAAAAGGAAAAGCTCAAATACAGTAGTACATTTAGAGTGTGAGTATATATGTATGCATGTCTATATACACATATGTAGATACATGTGTACAGATACATTCTACAAACTTTTGTCCTTAAGGGAACTCAACAGTGTGCTTGGTCCCTCTTCATTTCTACAGAACTTCTCATGAAAAAGTGCTGAGACACTTTCACAGTCAGGATCTGTTGTCACTGTAAGCAAGTTTCTCCAGTGAACCGAAGTCTGATAAATCTAGCTGAGCTGTCATTTCCTTGCAAGGCTTTATCCCTGGGTTGGCTTCAGACATACATGTTTGTAAATGTCACCAATGTGAGAAAAAGAAAGAAAGGAATGAAGAAAGCTTCAAGGAAAGTTGTTTTGAATTTCCTGCGTGAAGGTGTGGTGTCCCCACTCCCCATTCAGATGTAGGACGTGTCTGCAGATGGCAACATGAGCTCCCCTCCGTCTCTTCTCCAGGCTGGTGGGATGTTCTCCAGTGCCAGTCACGAGTTGCAGAGCTCACTTAGCACCACACTGTGCCCAGTGATGATGCACAGCATTTTATCAACTGCTGATGCTGAAAACAACTTAGAGCTGCCTTGTACCTGGACAGCTCAGGGAGGAAGCCGGGGTCTGACAGTTATGGCTCATGAAGGCATTCCCTGGATGGTGCACATTTTTGGAGAAGGTGATGGAGCAGGAGACCTTTCTGGTACAGGGTCTTGGTCTGACTCCTGCTTTTGGAGCAGAAATGTTATTATCATTACGAATTCTGTCACCACTGGGCAGTGATGCAGAGCACTGTTCGGCTTCCCTGGGCAACTTTACCTCAGCTCCTTTGCTTTGGACGGGGAAACAGGGCGAGGAAACGGACCAAATGCAGAACTGCAATTGTTTTGAAGCAACTTTGCACTGCATTAGTGGAATAAAGGTACAGTCTGGGTCATTTAATTTCCCTTGTTGACGTAGGCAACGAATCAGAGGATAATTAGCCACATCTGATAACTTAGCTTTTAAATAGAGAACAGGACTTCCCAAATACTGTAGGAAGTGGCAAAAGCAGCAGGAGAGAACAGGGGTAACACTTGTAAAGTATCTTCTTTTTAAAGTGCTGAAGTTTGGGCTAAAGAAATTGCTGTTTTTCTAGGAAGAAGAGTCCGTGTAATGACTAAGTTGGTTCCCACCTCAGTCCCTTCCACTTGTCATACCGGAAGATATAGCAGCTATGATTCCTGTAGTGGTATTTAAAATGACAAGCATATTTAAATCTGAGTTTGCTAGTGAAACTTGGCTAAATCTATCACACCAGCACAATAATACCATGCGAACTTTACAATTTAAACCAAATCCCGTTTGGCTCTGATGCCATTCTCAACCTCATTATGGTGAGCCATCCCAGGTGGCTCATGTTGTGTGCTTTCAGATCAATCTGTAGTAATTCTTCTGTTTCTCCCTTTTTCATGGCCCCTCTGTAGACCAAGGTGCTTCATGTCCCCTTCTCAGACTCTCTGGTTGAGGAGTGATGACATGAATGGCTTTCCCTCTTGTTTTTATCTGGCCAGCAGCAATCTTGAGTAAACTGGATGTGTGTGGTTGTGGAGCAGGGAGGGAATATGGTCTTGGACAGAGACCAAAATGAAGGTATTCCAGAATGGCTTTGTGCTTTACCTTTCCTCATGGGGTCAAACCCTGAAAGAGATCAGACTGTCTGAGTGTTAGAAAAAAAAA